GGGGCTGCGGGCAGCCTGCGGGCCCGGGGAAGGTGGGGGGCCTGCGCGGTGCTGCGAGGGGGCCCCGGTGTCGCGTCCCGCTCCGCAGCCTCTGGGCCGTTCGCGGGCCGCTTGCGGGAGAGCCGCTGGCCGAAGGAGCTCTTCGGGCTTCGCGGGGCTGTGGCAGCCTTCTGCTGCAGCACGTGCCTTCCCCCGCAGCCTCTGTGGTACAGGCCCTGTAGCCTCTTTTTCCCTCAGTGTGTCACAGCACTTCGCTTGCTGCTTGCCTTCTGTGTCACTACACAGTCAGGCTTGTTTTTAAAAAATAGCAGTAAAAAGCAGCATTATCCAATTCATTCATCGTGACTCGATTGTGATTTGCTTCATTAAACATGAAGACTTCTTCAAAATGTTAAAAGTTTGTGATCATTGTAGCTTTCGTTTTTAACTAGAAAATGAGTAAATGCTACCTTTCTTACTGTAAATGCTGTAGTTTTTTATATTGTTCCAAAAGTACTTCAGCAAGGCAATGTAAGCGAGCAAACCCCAAATGACGTAGCGATCCCAGCGCTGGCTTGGGGCATCCTGCTGATGGTGAGCTCACTTTTTGAGAGCGCGGTGGATGCTGAGGAACTGACATGTGGATCCAGCGTCTCGATGGTGTTCCGGTGCCTAGAGGATCTGATGCAGCTTGCCTTAGTGATGTTTCTGGCACTGTTTTCATGGCCTGCACGCCCCTGAGCAATTGTAAATGCGTATCCAGACCTAAAAGTGCAGATCTGATGGAAACGTGGCTAACTTCAGTATTGCTAGAAGAGTTTAGGTATTGTGAGTTGGCTTTTGAGAAGCAGGGAGAAAGTCATGCTCTCACCTGAGTGCACACTATGCTGAAGATGTAATGGGAATCATTTTATCACTGCTCCTTATTTTCCGTTTAGGAGGACATGGCTGCTCACGTGGGAGCATCCCGAACACCTCAGGAAGTGATGGAGCACTACGTGAGCATGTATATCCATGGCAACCTGGGAAAAGCCTGCATCCCTGACACTATTCCGAACAGGGTAACGGATCACACGTGTCCCAGCGGCGGCCCGCTTTCTCCCAGCTTGACCACGCCGCTCCCCCCGTTGGATATATCGGTGGCCGAACAGCAGCAGTTGGGATACATGCCACTCCGGGATGACTACGAGATCGAATACGATCAGGACGCGGAGACTCTGATCAGTGGCCTTTCGGTGAACTATGACGACGATGACGTGGAAATAGAGTTAAAAAGAGCTCATGTAGACATGTATGTAAGGAAACTCAAGGAGAGGCAACGGCGGAAGAACATTGCACGAGACTATAACTTGGTACCAGCCTTTCTGGGGAAGGATAAAAAGGACAAGGAGAAAGCTCCCAAACGAAAGATCACAAAAGAAGAGAAGGAGTTAAGGCTGAAACTGAGGCCTCTGTACCAGTTCATGTCTTGTAAGGAGTTTGAAGACTTCTTTGAGAACATGCATAAAGAGAGGATACTTAGAGCAAAGATTCGGGAGTTGCAGCGGTATCGTCGAAATGGAATCACCAAAATGGAAGAGTCGGCAGAATACGAGGCAGCCAGGCACAAACGGGAAAAGAGGAAGGAGAACAAAAACATAGCTAGTTCCAAGAGAGGGAAGGAAGATGGTAAAGAAGGTGAATTTGCTGCCATTGAAAACCTGCCTGGCTTTGAACTCTTATCGGACAGGGAAAAGGTGCTCTGCAGCTCTCTAAATTTGAGTCCTGCACGTTATGTGACAGTAAAAACTATAATCATTAAAGACCATCTCCAAAAAAGACAAGGAATTCCTTCAAAGAGTCGCCTTCCCAGTTACTTAGATAAGGTACTGAAGAAAAGGATTTTAAACTTTCTAACAGAAAGTGGTTGGATATCCAGGGATGCTTCATGAAACTCAGCTGATCTGAAAAAACGCAGCAGAGGCCCATTATAGCCTCAAGGACTCCATTATTTTTTTTCCTTCCCTCCCCAAAGATACAGAAATTATGTTACTTAAAAACAACAAAAAAAAGAAAATACATAAATCCCGACAGTATTCATGATCCATGGTTCAAATAGACTTCTGCTTTGGATCATGGAAAGTACTTAATTGTGAAACTTCTACATTGGATTTCACTGCTTTTGGCACATTACTAGAACAGATTTCTTCCATGTGAACTTACTCAAGTCCAGTAGTCCCAGAGTAGTTACTTTACTCCTTACTATTGGACAAATGAGTATCAGTGTAATCCTTGCTTTTCTTTAAGGTGGGAGATAGTTTCATTTGCTGGAAACTGTCTTCTCCCTTTCTTTCATTTTTTGGTGTAATGCTGGCAGCAAAGTGAAGCTTACAAAAGTCCTGAGCGCAGGAGCAGGGTGAGCAAGGACTTTTGTGACCATTGCTAAGCTTTCAGAACATTCTCCTTAGTAACTACAGCCAAGGTGCTGGGACAGCGGGGTGAGTTTCTGTCGAGAATACAGCAAGGATTAGCCATGGCAGGGAGTGGAAGGAAAGAAATGTGGTAGGTGAGATGCCTTCAGGTACTTGTGCTGTGGAAAGGGTTCTTGAAGAGCTACCTGCACACCCAGCTGATCCGGACATAGCTTTGACTTCAGTCTTTGCTGAAACAGGCTCTGCTGAAGCTTCGATGCTAACTAATTAGTAGCAGAGTTGCAGGGGTGCATGGCAGCTGTGGTGCTCTGTTCCAGAGGAAGGGTCAGCACTACTGTGAAGTGGCTGTTTGGGGCTAGAAATGGGGTTTGGGAAAATAGGCAGTGAGTTGTCTTGTAGCCGTTGGGAGCCTCAGGCAGCAAAATCACTGTTTCTTGTCAGGGGAAGTTACACCTTCATTGGCATCTGTAACTTCTGAGCTTGTATGGGATGAGGAGGTGTAGCTGCCAAATCCTGAAACTGATTGGGAGGGACAGGGAAAAAGAGCGGAATTCTCAAGTGAAGAGCGAACACCAAGACTGGTTTTTAAAAACAAAAATGAGAGGTGATAGAGATTAGGTCAAGATGCACAGCTAATGTGCTTCTGAAGTACAGAGCTGTAAATCGAGCCATTACTGGATTCTGGTGGCACATAACCTTGAAACGTACTGGACTAAACACACTGAAGTTGAAATGACTGATGTGGCAGAAGGGTGACTGCAGCCCACTGCAGGGGGAACAGTGCACCTGGAGAGGGAACTCGTCACGACTCTGACTAGTCTGAGATGATGATTTAACACAGCGTGTGGCAGAAACGCCAGACCCACAGCACTGTTCTAGTAAGATTAAGGGAAAGATGTTGAAGGAGGACTAGAAAAGATTTTAATGCTCATTTCATCCTTAAATTCCCGTGCTGGTATTTAACCAAATGAATAAAAAATGGTGGTTGCCATGTGGAAGACAGCACAGTGTTACTTGTGCTTAAGCCTCTCTGCTGGTCGTGTCTGGAGAGGGAAGCTGTGGCCGGAGGCCAGCTGGGCAGGTCTTCTGGAGCACAGATGTGCCAAAACATGGAACTTGACTGGCTTCAGAACAAGTGCAAGCACTGCAAATGTCACCTTGGCTTGATGCTTTGGGCTGTAGTCAGTAAGGATACTTAAAACAGTATCAATTCTGCAACTTGGCAGAGGTATACTGATCAGAACTGGGTTTTAGTTAATACATCCAGCATTACCAAACTAGTGTTACCAGTGAGTTTAGAATAAAAGGGGTACAATTACAAAGCCAGCATTTCTAAGGAAGAAGAAACCAAAACTCTAGTGCCTTTTTCTTGTGAGCTTGTGATGTTATGTCCCTTCAAAAAGGTAAGGGCTATGTCCTCTCGGATGTAATGCTTTGTTTGGCTTACCTGTAAGTGGCTTGTTGTGGAATACTTGAGACAAAACTGTCTCTCCTTGGCAGCAGTGGTACGAACTGCAATGTGCTGAGTAGCTTTAAGAACCACTTCCACCCTATATGCATGTACAAACAGCATACAAGTTCATAAGGTATAAACCCTTGGTTATTTTCTGTCCTACTCCTGTGGAAAGGAAGCTCAGCCTTTCTTTCTTGTATTCGAGTTATGCAATTTGGTTCTTCCTGGAACTTGTTACCTAACTGCTATAACATACCATTACTGATAAGTGTTCTGGATCCTCAACTCTGCATGTAGCTGAGAGTTTAAATTGATTTGGGTTTTTTTATTTTTTTTCTCAAATCTGTGATTTTTATATTTCTACACTGTTTTGGCACACCTAAGTCTAACTGAAGCAATAGTCTAAAGCCCATCTGAACAATAACTTAAAAAAAAAATCTAGGCACCTATGAGTCATTTAATGTTGAAGTGAATTCTGCATTTAAACTTTGTAGTTTAACTCCTCAGCCCCTCCAAAATGTTTCTTTGGTGCTAGACGTAACTTATTGAACATCAAAATGAATGTAAAATAAAGTATTTTTAATGTATGAAATATGGATATCAATATTTATTTTATACTTGCAAGCAAATTCAAGGTGGTAAATGTTTGCTTTAGCAAATACTAGTCCCTTGGAAAGGGCTTCCCTAGAAGCAATGTCTCATTGTCAGCTATGCTTTTAATTTTAAAGGTGACTTGCACTAGAGGATGCTGCTGTTCCATATTTTCACATGGAACTGATCTCGTCTAAGCATTCCTTTGTTATGAGCTGCTGTTTTTTTGTTTGTTTTTAAGTTGAGATGCAGTTATGTTAATCCAGCAATTTACTAGAGCTAACTGCTTCTCTTTTGTGTTGAAGGGGCTGAAAAAAAACATGGCAAAGAGCTCTTCAACTTGTATCTTGTGTTGATCTGGAAGCGCTTCCTGTACTGTACAAATAACCTCGCCTTCATGTTGCTAATGAAAAGGTGTTTTATATGCTTAATGCTCTTGACTTTTCTAATTAAAGATATTACTAATGATAGTATCTGTCCTAACAGCATTGATGTAAGCCTATGAAAAAGTGACACTCTGTAAGCTGTTCAAAATATTGATCTTTTGCTACTGATAGAGGCAGCAATAAGTCTGTTTTGATGCTGTATGTTTACTTCAATCAGTCTAGTCCCAATGATGTTTTACAGTAATATTTGTTTACTAGGTAACAAGGGAGGGATAATCACCATTCTGTGTGTACTACCTGGTGCAGAAGGGCTTGTTACAGAGTATTCTGGGCACAGACCCTCCTGCCCTGTGTTCCGTTGCAGTCCCAGCAAAGCATTAGGAACAGCATTATAGTAGGTTTGCACGAGTCTCTGACCATGAACTGCCTTGTAAATCACACAAGCTAAGCACTCTGCCAATTATTCTCTTGTACAGCGGCTGCATCAAATTTCTTTGCAACTGTAACAGACTTCACTAGCCTTTCAGTTTACTATCTCTTCTTGCAAAATGTTTTTGCATGTGCCCCAGTTGCTCTTACGTGATGACACGTTGAATACTGTGAAGGAAGGCACGTGGTGAGCCTGTTCAGCTCATCAGCTTCTTCCTTAAAGGGAATGTTGCACTCATTTGAATCGTGTACTGGTGTAGCTGTGCCAGACACACAAATGCCTGTGCTGAAATCATGTAAAACCTAACTGATGTTGTGCACACTCAGCAGTTTACTAGGTTTTTGCATTGTATATTGGTAAATAAACTTGTATTAAAGTTTCTTTCCATTATTGATTTAATGGTAATGTAGCTTGTGTAATGAGGAAAATGGGTGGAGCAGAGATGCATTTTAGCTAAATGATGATGGGTGGAGAAGTGGTCTTTATAAAATAGCTAAACCAGAGGTATGGGTGGTAGCTCTGTTGGCTACTCATGCTTAAATTTCAGAACCACCTCCCTGTTTGATTTCTTTGGTGCTTCTGACTGTGGTATGGCTGCGTGTAGAGGTGCTTTGAGCTCTCAGTACAGACAGAAGCTCTCCCTGCTGAAAGCCTCCCTGAAAGGGCAGGCCAAGGGAAAGGAACCACTTAAATGAGTTACCAGCTTTAAAGATAGTGGTTTGAGTCTTGTGCTGAACATTTAACAGTAACTTTGTGTTTAAGAACCCTCTCAATGAAGTAATGTAGTTCAAAAGGGACAGTTTGTGTGAGGCTCTGGGAAGTTCATTAAAAAGATCTTAATCTGCTAGGGAAGAAGCTGTCTCTTTAATTGTCCTGCTAGAAAAACTTCTATACTTGTGATTAATAGATTTAGTTTAAATCCAGAGGGGGTGGGAGAAGGTAGAACAACACATGACACTTCTTAAAAGGTATATAAATCAACCCTGGTCCCTATATGATGTATCCAGCCAAAGTGCAAAACTCTTCAATCCTACTTCACACAGCCACAGTGTGATCTAACCCAGATGGAAGCAGCTACAGTGTGATCCAACTCGGATGAAAGTTACTTCTAAATTCTACTTAAGTATGTGGAATCCCCTTTCCCCC